ATAACACCGATTGTAAGGGACAGGTCCAAGGTGTTCAACCTCGCACGAACGACAACAGTAATTTCTTTATGACTGAAGTGAAGGATAAATCCAAAGGTTCCCGCTCAAACAGTTGCATGACAACAACAGTAGGCATGCCTGTATCTGATCCTTTATAATAAGCTGCGCAACAGTCACGATGGACATCCTTGCATCTGAATATCTCTCAAATTCCCGGTTCCGAATTAACCGTCTGGAGATACACATCAGATCCCGAATATCTTGCCGTCTGGAGATACACATCAGATCCCGAATATCTTACTTGGCATGCCATGTGGGTTCCTCATTGAAACCTATAAATACCCCCCAAGGGCCACGACGAAAAGGTGATTGAAACCAACCCTAAGCTCCTCTTTCCTCTGCTCTAACGGTAGCCCCGATTATTGCTGACTTAAGCATCGGAGTGTCTACCCCGAGGACCCACCTCGGGGCTTTGCAGGTCGACTCGGAGTGCGGACGTGGACTAAAGAAGGACATCTAGTTTGGTGCAGTTACAGATAGCCAAGCTTAGCCAGGATCGAGCTTAAACCTGTAGAGGACTTGAAGACAACTTGTTCCAACGTGGAACAAGTCCAAGCCAAAAAAAAGAATTTCCTAGATCTAAGTTCTTTTGTTTTCGGAAGTATCTTTTAATTTTTAGACTAGGCTTTGAAGACTTCGGTCGTGAAAGAATGAAAGATATTACCTTTGGAGATTTTTCCCATTAGATTTTCCTTCACCTTAGTGTGTTTTATTATTATGTTTGTAACTAAGCATATATCTTGTTATTAAAAATTATTTTAATATTTGATATTATTTTATCAATAGTATATGTGTAATTGTCCACTTTAATTTTTTATAATAATGAAATAATTATTAGAGAGTATATTTGAAATTATATTAAACTTCATTATATTTTATATTAGAACTTTAGAAGATGTGGTTATTTATACAAGGGTTTTGAAAAGGTAGGATGGGTGGTTGCTTCGGTGAAGAGAACCTCATAGGGGAAAATCTCCAGAGGTAATATCTTCTCATGGTCTAAGTCCTTAAAGTCAAGTTAGGGAGTTGAACGACACTTCTTAAATCAAAAGAACCTAGATTGTGAGAGAAATATACAAAGCAAAATTAAAATTGCCAATAACACAAGTACTACTAATAAAATAATTAGAAAATACTAAAATAATTTTTAACAGAAGTATACATGCTTAGTTACACAAATAATAATACAACACATCAATACAAAGCAAAACATAAATCACATGCGACTTTGTAACAAGTACAAGTTTGATATTGAAAGAAGTAGGCATATAACACATAGATTAAAGTTTCAAGAACTGTGCTTGCAATGCTCCCCACCGTTCTTGTTCCTCAACCGTGTTTTGGTACTCTTAGGAGCTCTCCTTCCACAATTTCTGCCTTTTTTAGTTCAACTGAAGGAAAAACCAGTAAAGAAAACCATTAGTATGTTTGCCATACCACACCCTCCATCTCTTGCACAACATACGTGGTTGAATGACAATTCCTAAGCCAAAAACAAATCCCAATTCAATGCTTAGGAAATTGCAGTCAATACAGGTTCCATGATTTGAATGTTTGTCTTCAAATGGTGGCAATACGTTAACACCGCAATTTTCCTTCAAGGGCATCCCACATAATCCTTTGTTATTTTTAAAGGAATCTTCTAAAAATGTTTAAAGCTATCTTCCACTTGGGATTCTTCCTTCGAGTTGATTGTGTGAGAGGTTAAGAACTGCAAGGAAATTAAGATCTCCCAGCTACCGACGAATTTCACCACTCTGGTTGTTACTAGAAAAGTTCAAAGATTCAAGATGTTGTAGGTTTCCTAGAGATGAACGGATTAGACCTATGAAACAATTATGTGACAAGTTGAGGGCACAGAGTGCCCTGCACTCCCCCAAAACCTTTGGTATCTGCCCTTCAAACTCATTGCATGAAAAGTCGATGGACATGAAGAGAGTTTAGGTTTTCACTAACCGTCTCTCAGAACCTTTAATGGTAATTAATGTTACTGCATATTGATAATAGATTCCTTGAGAGAAAATATTGTTACCTCTCTCCACGTCTCTCCTCAAAGTAGTATATACAAAACTATCCTTGCAAATTTGGGTATTTCTTGTGAAAGAATTACCATAACATCTTTCAGAGATTCTATTGTGTTAACCGTAAAAATAGAGTAGATGGTGTGGAACCAAGATCTTTATTGATAGAGTTTACAATGTAGAGAGAATAATGGTGGAAAAATAATCTCCCCTCTTAGGTTGATCCTAGACGTATTTATAGGATGCTTAAATACAGTTATTCTAGGAATACAATTTTGTTTTAATTGGTGTTTGGGTATTCTTATCCTATCAGGATTTATTCTATCCTTAATAGGATTATTTCTAGATTGTCTACACGTGTCCTAATTATTATAGGACTTGCTTTTAGGGTATAACATTTGCCCCCCAACGAAGAAGTTTGAGGATAACGAAAACTTCAACAAGTGTCTGCCTTTTTGCTCTGTTGATCTTGATTTTGAATTCTGCACAGGTTCTTGCTTTTTAACCATGACTGCCTCGTTAAAAACCTTAACTAGAAAAAACCCTGTGGGGTAAAAATCTAGTTTAAGGGAAAAAGAGTGCAGCACAGGTTTTTTCTTCGTGATTCCTGGCGCAGTTTATTAAAAGCTTCTATTTGAAATTAATTGCTCTGTAGATTTGCTCAGGTCCTTTCTTGATTTTTTCACATTTTTACGGCTGCATTTCCTGAATCTTTCTACTTTTTGGCAGTAATCTTTGCATACGTGGGCCCCGTTGTATGGCTTTTGGTACGGCCACCCCCTTTTGGTTCAAACCCCAATTTTCTTGGGATTTTATGCAATTTATCCTTTTTGGATGGATGGGGTTTTCTTTTGAGTTTCCCGATTCTTCCTTTCCTTTTTGTTTGACTTCATCTTGATTTTTCTTTTTGTTTCCTCTTGATTTCTTGCTTTTCTTTTTCGTTTTCTTCCGCTTGTGGAAAATTTCTTTGATCCTGTGGCTTGATCTTGGCCGGTTGCCTTGTGATGGCTGTTAATCCCTCTGCTTCCGATTCGCTTCCGATTTTTGCTACTGGCTCCGTTCCGGTGATTGTTCTTGGTTCTGTTCCGGCCATGACTTCTGGCTTTGATTCGGTTGCAGTTTCTGGCTCTGTTCCAGTCATTGCTTCTGGTTCTGTTCCGATTTTTGCTTCCGGCTTTGCTCCATCCTCTGCTTCCGGCTTTGTTCCGGTTTCTGCCTCTAGTGGCTCTTCTATTGCCGACGTGGGTGTCCTTCCTTCTTCTTCTAAGCCAGAGATCTTTGATATTTTCTGCCTTCCCCTTAATGCGGATGGGAAGTTTGTTGTGAAGGGTGCTTTGCGCCATGTGGAGAGGGATCCTATGGTGCCTCCCATTCCTACAGAGGTTCCTTTGGTTTTTTCTTCAAAGGGTGGAAAGGTTGCTCTTCCTCTAGGGTCGACGAAGGTGTTCTGTGAACTTGATAAAGTGTCTTGGGTTACTAGTAGTTGTGATGTGGATGAGATTAGGGGGATTTATAGAACTTGATAGATCCGCAGGTTTTCCTTCCTCAACATCCGGTGGGCCGCGCGGCATTTCAATGCCTTCCTCCTGATATGTGTGTGTACAAGGACCAATTTGCATGTGGGTTGTGTTTTTTGTTTGTCTCGGGTTTTTGTCATGCTTTGCATTGTGCTTTTTGCCAAGACTATATATATATATGAAAAATATGTTTTCTTATTTTTTGCCTTGTCCTCTGTGGTGCATCTTACGTGGCTTTTATTTGGGTATTTATGTGATCCCACGTTTGCTCGCAGCTTTATTGCTTGACTGTGTAACTTCTGCTCGGGTATTTAATGTACACCCAAACTTGCTCATAGCTTCTTTTTGCCTGCGTAACTTTTGCTTGGATATTTGTGTACATCCAAACTTGCTCGCAGCTTTATTATTTGTCTGTGTAACTTCTGCTTGGGTATTTAATGTACAC